TTCCGTGGGTACCGTGTGGGAGTTCGACGAAGATTTCGGCGTCGACGGGTGCGTAGAGGAATGCATTGGCGACATCAATTTGTCGCAGCTTCTTCTTCTTCATGGCGGCGATGGCGAGAAGGATTCGGAGAGAGGTATGTCGACTGACTGGGGCGAATGTCTCGGTGAAGTCTCGTCCTTGCTCCTGATCGAATCCACGCACGACCCAGCGTGCTTTGAATTTCTCGATCGTGCCGTCTGATTTCGTTTTGATGCGGAAGACCCATTTCCCGGTGAGAATAGTCTTGTTCCTTGCCACGCTTGCGGGAACGACCTTCCAGGTGTTGCGTTCCTCCAATGCCTTTAGTTCTCTGTCCATGGCTTCACGCCATTTCTCCCTGTGTTCCCCCCCCAGAGCCTGCTGAACCGTCGCAGGCTCCTTAGGAAGCGCGTTGCCGTGCACTGCGGTGACGAGGCCGAGGATTTGCAGCCCAGTCTGTGAGTATCGGGGGAGTGTTGGGTCCTCGGGATAAGCTGCTTCGTCTCCCGCTTCTGGATCGGGTATGAAATTTGGCCCTATCCGTTCTGCTTCATTTGTGTTGACTGTCGCAGGTGTTACGTAACCGTTGTCGGCGAAGTGATAGAAGACTTCGGCGTTGGCACTGTCGCGAGGATTTTCTTCGTCCATGGGCACGTTGACGGAGCAGAACGGGAGAGGTCTGGCTTCTTCCGATGCGTTGTCGACGTTCTGTTCATCCCAGTTTGCTTCGTCCGCTGCTGAGGCGAAGGCTCGGTCACCACGAAAGCCACCTGTGGGGTTTTGATTCTCGTGCAAGTTGGCGAGGTACGTTTGAAGGGTGAGTCGCTCGTAGAAGATCATATCACGTGCTGCTACTGTTTCCTTTGAGTGGACGTCAAAGATTTTCCACGCGTTGTAATTTTTCTCGATGCCGAGGTGTAGTCCCCACTGTGCCCGTTGTGAAAATCTTCCCGCTCGTGCTTCTGGGGGTCGGTACTGTACCATGCACCCGAAAACTCGTAACATTTTTGTGCTGCCCTGCTTCCCTGTCCACAGCAGGTGCGGCGATGCGTTGTTCGGGAGTGACGACGACGACAGCAAGTTGTGCAGCATGACAGCATGGTCCATTGCTGCAGGCCACTGGTGGTTGGGTAGCCGCATGCCACGTAGCAGTTTGCGCATGCTGTTCTGCAGAGTCCTGTTCATTCTTTCTGCGACACCTTGCTGCTGATGTGCGTAGGGAAGGGAGAGGAGTTGCTTGATTCCCCTTTCCGCCAGGTACTGCTTGAAGCGCTGAGAGGTGTACTCTCCTCCTCCGTCTGACTGAAAGCTTTTCAGTTGTGTTCCTGATTCCCTCTCTGCTACCGGTAGCCAAGCGGCGAACGCTGCGAGAGCCATGTCGCGGCTGGGTAGGTTTCGATGCCAGACGTATCGAGTGGCGGCGTCGATGAAGGTTATCGTGTAATTGTAGGTGACTTGTCCTGGTTCTCGATTGAAGAGGATGTCGCTGTATACTTTCTCGAGTGGTGCGTATGTAGGTGCGCTTGGGTTGTGGTGAGAAGAAAACGGTCGATGGGGTAAGTCGGCTTCGGGGCAGATAAGGCAAGTTCCTCGTGCACGTTGAAGTTCTCTGCCGTCGGGTAGTAGTAGCGAGTCCTTGTCTAGAACTCCTGCTCGTATTGTGTTATTTAACACTGTGTTGCTTGGATGTCCTGTGCGTGCGTGCCAGATGTCTTCAGGAGCGCGGTGTCCGGGTGAGCGTTGATACGCGTCGGAGTTGGAGTAGAAGCTGGCGACAAAGTGTGCGCTTCTGTGGACTTCTCGTTGAGTCGGGTTCAGCTGCTGTGCGGGTGTTGGTGGTGCTTCGTCGACGGAGATTGGTGTCGTTGGTCCTGCTGCTGCCGATGATGTTGCTGCTGCTGATGTTGTTTCTGCTGCTGCCGATGTTGTCTCTGCTGCTGCCGATTGTTGAATCGTTGCTAATGCGCGTGTTCGTTCTGCTTCAGGTATGGTGTGCGAGTACCAGAAGCCTCCCGGGCTGAAGTCGGGATCGAGATCCAGGGGATGTGTCCAATCGGCGAAGTTGACGATGGCGTCGCTATCTGCAGTGCCCAGGTCGGGGACGAAATCGAGGACGAAGACGTTGTTCTTCAACACCGCCCTTCCGATGTAGAGGCCACCCTTCCCGTGGTACAACTTGAACTCCTGTGTAGTGCTGTTGGCTTCCAAGTGAATACCTTTCGCCATCAACTGGCTGACACTCAGTAAGTTATAGCCGAGTCCCTCCGCGATGAGTACCTTTGACATGTGTAATATGACATTTGTCTCTCGTGACTGAAGCTGTACCACTCCTTGTCGTCGTGTGCGCAGGTTCTGATTGTTGGTGACCGTGATGACTACTTCTCGCTGGAGTCGATGCTCGCGTTGAACGAAGCGCCCGGAGGAGCACATATGTTGTCCGCAGCAACTGTCCAAGAACCAAGTGTCTTGGCCGGACGGTTCGCTTTGAGCAATGGCGGCGTATGTCGGATTCGGGTGGAGTGACTTGCGGCGAGGCGTCCTGTTATCGAGCTCTTCTTCCGGTGAGTAGTGGGGTGGTGATTCTGTTGTGCAAGAATCGGTTATCTTTACCATGCAATTGACAATATTTCTTGCTCCTTGTGCAGGTTGTCCAGTTGAAGTCGTTGAAGCTTGGATTGTGGTCGTCGGATTTGCTTGCGTTGAAGCAACTTGGGAACTTGAAGGCCGGAGTTGTCGCTGTGGTGTCGTCGACTGCTGGCGGGACGGGCAGTGTGTGCAAAGATGACCCGAGGTCTTGCAGATGTGACAAAACGGAGGTACCGTCTTCACTTGTTGCTGTTGTCGATTGTTGTTGCCGTTGTATCGTCGCTGAGTGTGAAACGCAAACTCCGGTGCTAATGTTTTCTTCTTGTGTCTTTCTACTTGCAGGTCCATGTCCTGCTGCTCGGCGTGGATTTCGGCGCAGAGTGCCGCTTCGGAGATCCTCCCGTGTGCTCGTAATATGGCGCGAGTGGAGCGCTAGTGGGGGCCGAGACCGCCGATGACCACCGTGACAAAGGCGTCTTCTGAAATTGACCCTCCGCATCGAAGAAGCTTGTCGCGCAGTTCGCGGCAGCGGCTGATATAAGCCATGCCTTTCTCGCCTGGTTTCATTTCAATCGTTGTCAGCTGCGCCATTAACCTGCTTTGATTTACGCTGTCTGTTGCTTGATACAGGTTCTTCAGGTGGTTGTACGCGAGCTCCGCGGAGTTGCCGTAGCCTCGGTAGGTTCTGATGTTCTGCTGCTGGGTCGGGTTGATGTTTCTTGGCAGTATCGTGTACGCCATCATTGATTGATAGGTGTATTGCTGCTTCTCATATTGTGTCCCGTTTGTTGGATATGGCAGGGACCCGTCGAAGTAGCCGAGAATCTGTGCTCCTTCCATCATCAATTCGAACTCGAACGACCAGGTGAAGAAGTCTTTGCCGTCGAAAGGCTTTGTCGTTTGCAGCTTTAGGACGTGCGCGAATTGCGACTGAACTTGTAATGCGTCCAATGCCCTTTCTTGTCCTGGTGCAGATTGCGGTTGCGGCATGAAGCTGACGGAGCCACGCTGGGATTCGTACGGCGCAAAGGTAGGCTGCTGTTGTTGTTGTTGAATCCCGCGTGCGTAGGATGAGCCGTCGAGACTCATAGGAGTCACGTTGTTGTTGTTGCTGTTGTTTGACTGCGCAGGTACTCCTTGCTGGTGCTGCTCGTAGAAGGACATGAAGGAGAATAATTTCTCCATCATGCTTGGATCGAAGCCTGCGGGTGTTTCCGTGGACCCAGCTGCTGGTCTCGTGGTAGTCCCTTCCTCTGTCTGTAGGCCAGAGACAGGAGGTGGAGTAGGAGTAGTGCCTGGAGAACCGTTGGAGGAGTTTCTCTCCTTCCTAGTAGACATGTCTTCTTGTATTTTGTAAAAGGAGGAATAACTTTTAAGCTCTAACTGCTCTGATACCATGTTGGGCTGAGGTGCCCTAGGATCTTTGTAGAGTTAAAGTTTGAGTAGGATGATGTAATAGCGGAAGCGTTGAATAAGAAATCCTTGAACCACCTTGCGCTGGTATGTGAGGGCAAAGTAAGTTAAAACAGGCAAATACAAAGCTTTATATAAGAGTACAAGGAATACGAATAGATGTAATTAAACTACCTTGCTGTTGCGATTCGATACAGTGCGACTCGGGCAACTGCTCAATGTCGAGTCAGTTGTGTGTCCTTGCTGTCGCGCTGTATTGGTCAAGTCAAAGGTCGCTGACCTTTGACCTTCCCGTAACCTTCAGGCGGTTACCCTAACCTCCGAGGGTTGACTCGCGATGCTTCGATTTGGACTTCTTCGCTTTGTGTCCTGAGTTTCGACACGACAGAGGCGCTTAAGACTTATTGTTCCCAACATGTGTGAGGGCAAAGTAAGTTGATTAAAACAAAGAGATACAAGATTATATATAAGAGTACAAGGAATATGAAGAGGTACAGTTATAACTGTTTTGCTGTTGCTGTTGTGGTTCGATACAGCGACGACTCGGGCAACTGCTCTGTAGCGAGTCAGTTGTATGTCCTTGCTGTCGCGCTGTACTTGTCAGGTCAAAGGTCGCTGACCTTTGACTTTCGCGTAACCTCCAACAGTTACTTTCGACCTCCGAGGGTTGACTCGCCGGTGCTTTGATACCGGTATGCTTCGCTCCGTTTATGACTTCGTGTTTCGACACGACAGAAGCGCGTAAGATCGATTGTTTCCAACAGTTCGAATGACCTACTTCTTTCCTGAACAGTTGGTTGCGGCAGATTCATAATCGTTTTATATGGAGGAAACGGCAGCATGTCGACCTCAACGTGTACGGTACTCGCAAGTACTAACATGTTTAGTTACTGCACCTGAATTGATTACATGATTGGAATCGCGTAACTAGGTGGCGGCGCTGCGCTGGAGTATGATGCAGCATGTCTTGCCATACGAGCTTTTAACCCTGCTTTCCAGATTCCAAATCTTCCTCTCCAGCCCTACCTGTCGCAAGCAGTCCTGCTCGCTCCTCTTCCCCTCCACTCACATTCCCCTCCGATGCTCTAGGAGAAGGCTGGCCTGCCTTGACCATTCCAGTCTCCTTGCCGTCCTTTTCCTTCTTGCCCTTCTCGATGGCCCAGCTATAAAGCACCATTCCTACTACAGCCATGAGCATGCCCATCACATTCTTCATGGTGATTGGTGAGCTGAAAAGGATGAAGCCCAAAACGAGGACAAGGACTGTCTTCATGTGACCAAGGACCTGGAATGACGTTGCTGAGAACTTTCCAATGCAGAGATACTGGCTGAGATTGCAGACGACAGCCAGCAAGCAAGAGAGCACGATGAAAGCCTGCAGGGGTTCAGGGGAGAGAATATGTGTAGTGAATGTTGATTTATTGGAGGAGCGGAAAATGAGCAAGACCAATTTCAGGAATGCTGAATTAAAAGGGGGATACATTTCAGCTTGGACCATGAAAGTTAGATGAGATCAAGTACGATGACAGTGCTGAATACAACGGGACAGGCGGAGCTGGATAGGATGGGAAAAGTTGAACAATGGCGTTAAATTGATCTCACCGTGCATCCAGCAGTAAGGGTGTATTCTGTAATGTTCAGACTTGTAACAAAATAGTCAACAAAGGGGCCAAGCACCACCAGAGATGCTGCTTGGATGGGTGCAGTTTGGCTGAGCAGGTCAAAAGACCCAATGTTGTACTTGGTTTGAAGGGACCCGATGAACTGAGAAAAAAAAAAAGAAGAAAAAACGTGTAAGGCATGATCGTAGACAGTACATGAGCACATGAGTTGCAGTCATAACAAAACACAACCACTTCGAGTAGAATACACACATGCATTCGCTGGTGGTTTCACATACTGAAAGCAGACATGCGTGTGGATGTGTGGGGGAGAGAGGAGGGAGGAAAGGAGGGGGGGTGGGATGGTCATATCTCACAATTTGCTGCAGGGAAGTGCTGATCACAGCGACAAGAGCAGCAAGAAAACCCATAAGGTTCATGCTGACGTCAGTGACGGTACAGACTCCCACTCCCACCATCACAACGACCACTGAGAATTTTACTTCTCGAGAATAAGCCTTGGAGTGAAGCAACGCTTCAAAGAGACACACGGTCGGTATGATACTGAGTTTCGCAATCTGTTAAATGACACATTGATTGTGATTTAGAGGCATGATGGAATTAGAGATGGCAATCAACAGCTCTGAATAGTGCTTCTTGAAGCAGTTAGATGAGCTTAATCTGAGTTAACAACGCCAGTGCGTAGCCTGATTTAACCAAAGCACGGAATTTCATCTGCAAATACTGTTCGCACCTGGTAGAAGCCAACGGTGTTGAGCATGAGGCTGAGATTCATAGAGACAATGGAAAGATTCGCGACGATGGAGAACCAGGCGAGCTCCAAAAACGGCACGGTGGCTTTGCTTGAAATATAACCCACTGCAGCTGATGCCATGCCGACCAACGCCGTGACCGCGAAATGGAACCCCGTCAATGTACAAGCTGAAACGGTAGTTGACACAAGAAGACAATACGGCTTTATTTTACTTTGATCGCTTGTGTGATTGAAATAACGAGAGACGGATTTAGCTTCAACAATCTGTTTTTTATCTTCAGTGGGTGTGGTCAGTATGAATTACGTACTAGCCCATACTCTCAGGTGATTACCTACACTTGCATAAAAGTATACTTACCGAATTTGAAGCCATAGCCTGACATAACTTGTTTGTTGACCATGATAATGCCGACTGAGCTGACCACATTCATAGTCCATGCTCCTACGGCCGAAACGGCTGCTGGATTGTTAACCATCTTGAAAAACTCTCTGATGTAACGAGTTCGATGATTGTATGCCGCACGGAGAGGTGTTAACCCTAACAGCCGGCAGCAGCCACTACAGCACACAGGCTAAACACATTCAACTTCTGCTCCACTCAGTTGCCGCCTTAACCTAATAGCCAGATCTGCACGAATCAGCCTGTCCTTGCTTGTCGACGACAAGCCCGGTGCTGACACTCGGCGTCGCTATTGCTCTCAAGGAAATGCTTGACTAAGGTCTTAGGTACCAAGGTCTTGATATCGGGGCCTTGGAAATGGCCGAAAGCTGATAGAGAACGTGTTTACCCTCGAGATTCCCTGAAGCTCGGCACTGAAAAAGCTCCCCAAATTCATCCCAGAAAGTTCTTTTCAGCGAGGCAGGGAGTCGTCAGTTAGTTCGGTTCGGTTCGGTCAATCACAGCGATCCGTCAGTTTCAAGGTTATCGTTTTGGCAGTTGGTGTGGCGCGAAGCGTAGTGGAGGGAGGGAGGGAAACCGCTCGTGGGGTCTCTCGAGCGTTGGGGCAGGCTCGGCGATATTTGGACAAGAGACAAATGGGCGTTGGAAACACGATATTGAAATATTTCGACTATAACTTAACTGCCAGATTTGAACAAATAATGTGAGTGTATAACTAGGTAATTACGCATAATTTAATGGAGATGGCACACATCCCCGCCAGCTACATGCCAACTGAGAAGCAACGGCTATACTGGCGGAGCTAATTTTAGCCTTGCCTTCCAGCTTCAACATCATCGTTGCTAGACAGCAGTGCCAACTTTTCACCATTCTCCATCCCCTCATCTGGCATTTTGGTTGGAAGAGCAGCAGACACCATAGGAGATCTCTGAAGCTTGTCCCTTGCTTCCTTCTCCTTCTTGCCCTTCTCAACAGCCCAGCTGTATAGAACCATTCCCAACACAGCCATCAGCATACCCATCACGTTCTTCATGGTGATCGGAGAGCTGAATACGAGGAAGCCCATGGCGAGAACCAGGACCGTTTTCATGTGACCCAGGACCTGGAAGGACGTCGCTGAGAACTTTCCAATGCAGAGGTACTGGCTGAGATTGCAGAAGACTGCGAAGAAGCACGAGAGGCCGATGAAAATCTGCACAGAAGAATCAGTTGGAGGTGTCAAGCTAAGGGAAGAGTGCCGACTACCACTATACGTGAATTGCAACCACACTCGAGACCAGGTACATCACCAGCAACTCACCGCAGAGCCCCATGTGAGCTGGTATTTCAAAATGGATTGCGAGATAAGGAAGTAGTCAATAACGGGGCCGAGCAGCAGGAGCAGTGCCGCCTGAATGGGAGCCGTCTGGCTGAGCAGGTCGAAGGAGCCGATGCTGTACTTGGTCTGCAGCGACCCGATGAACTGCAGAACGCGGGAGGGGGATGAAAGGAGACATATTATGCGGCGCATATAGGAAGCACAGCTTGAAATGCAGCTGGTCTGCAGGGATAAGGCACGGGAGCTCCGTCGAGGTCTGTGGAGTGAATTAAAGAAAGGGACGAGAGGAAACGCTGATGAACAATACGGATGGAAGAGAGAGGAACGGGAACGGACGGGATGCGCAGGAGCTACGTGAACTCGAAAAAATGGCGGACATCAAGACGCATGAAAGGGATTGTCGTCAGTCCATTCACGACGAGGTCGAACGACACACGTACAATCTGCTGGAATGACGTGCTGATAACGGCGATTACAGCGGCGAGGGAAACAATAGAACTGGAGCGGGAACGATGCCGAGAGGAATGGACCGGGGAATGAGCCGAGAGGAGTGGAACGGCGAGGGAACCGAGAGAAGGGGGCGAATGGAGCACACACGGGAACGAAGACACTCACGATCTGCTGGAGCGATGTGCTGACGTTGGCGACAGTAGCGGCGAAAAAATTAAATGAACTGGCGCGACAACGAAGCCGAGAGAAGGGAGAAAGAATGCACTCACGATTTGCTGCAGAGACGTGCTGATGACGGCGACGGTAGCGGCGACGAAGCCAAAGGCGTTCATGTTGATGTCGGTGACGGTGCACACACCCACTCCCACCATGACCACTGCCACGGAGAACTTGACCTCGCGCGAGTAGGCCTTTGAATGGAGGAGAGCTTCGAAGAAGCAGACCACTGGAATGATGCTCAACTTGGCAATCTGTGAAGGGTGGGAGCAGGACGAGATGAGACGTGAAGGATTCATGCAGAAAGACAATGTCATTAACAGGGCCCCTTTTAGCCGACAATTGGCTCTTAGCTGCCTTTCTTTACTCGGGAATGTGGGACCATGCCAAAGGTTATAGACAAGGTCATGTTGGCATGCTGACAAACCTGGTAGAATCCGACGGTGTTGAGCATGAGGCTGAGATTCATGGAGACAATGGAGAGATTCGCAACAATGGAGAACCAGATCAGCTCCCACAGCGGGACCGTGTTCTTGCTGTTCAGGTATCCCAGCGCAGCCGATGCCATTCCGACCAGAGCCGTCACTCCGAAATGTAGACCCGTCAGTGTCGAAGCTGCGCAGAGCAAGCGAGAGATGAAACATCAAATAAAGGCACAAAGCCATTATCGACGATCCTAACGTCTTTGTGTGAATGTCGTATTCCTGCACGTGGTAGCATCGCGGCACATAAAGATTACACTGCGCTTCAAGAAAGTTGATTACGATGGTCTAAGAGCTTTTTGTTAGCCTCTAAAAAGGGGTTGTTATGACTTACCAAACCTGAAGCCATAGCCTGACATGACTTGCTTGTTAATCATGATGATCCCGACGGAGCTAACCACGTTCATGGTCCATGCCCCCACGGCCGAGATCGACGACGGATTGTTTACCATGGTGATGCCTTTTGAGGGAACCAGTCAGTCGTTATTCTACTGTCAAGCAACGCACGTTCAACTAGATGCAAAACAGGGTTGTGCGTTGCCTCGTCGCTAATGATTTCGTCTACATCAGCTGGTAAGCTACCAGCAACAACCAGCAATGACCTCAGGAGTTGTGAGCTGAGTCTGAGGCCTGAACTCCCGAAAACTACAAGCTTTAGTGGAGTGATGCGCAGGCTGGAGAAAATGATCGAGGCTTTGGTTTAGGATTAGCTGTCTGATGATGGGGCACGAGAGCGGACAACTCCCTGTCACAAAACGGGAGGAATTTGGTGCGGTTCAATACTTTACAGTGTGGTACAGATTTTTTGAGAGACTTGGATGGATGGAATCATGAAAGGAATGGTTCGGAATCTGGATGGACTGGATTCGCGTCGCGTCACGAAGTAGGCGGGGCGAGGCGTGGACCATGCGTGGCCCGTAAACCCCTGCGTACTGTACGAGCAATGGAATTTCCGCAGAAGTCATGCTGCTCAGACAGGTGAAACATTTTTGCGTCTGTCAGGCGGGACAAGAAAGGAGGGAACGGGCTGTGTGGAAATAACGAAGTGGATGGCGTGTAGCAGGTCCCGCCTGCAGGTGCTCTTCTTGAAAACGTGGTTTCGAACTTGTGTGACCGTTTGGCGCGCCGCACAGCGAAGTGTGCCAACCAATGTTCTCAGTTTCGGCAGATCCGCTAACCAGACAAGTTTCGTTGAAGGAACACACATTTCAGATCATTCAAACGAGCGATTTCTAGCGCTAAGTCTAGCTAGTGGTACTTTCAGCTTTTTTTGACCAGACATAAGACCACATCAGTGAAAGACAAGCTAGTACAGTGCATAGTACACCCACCGAGTGGCTAGTAAAGAAACTAGGACGCTTACTAGTACCGGAATCATTGTAAGGTTGAGGACTAGATGCGTGCCATAGTATCCAACAAGAGTAATGAGGCCGTCCCCCACCACTCGGGCGAAAGTTCCAGCCTCAGTCGACAGAAGGCCGCAATTGAACGTTCCTCTTGCAAGGCGTGGTGACATTATGCGCGACATGAGTGAAAGAGAAACCCCTGCAAAGCGCCACACAAGTTTCAGACAGCAATCCAGACAGGAATGTGGGTGAGTACTGTAGTGGAATTGGAAAGCCCTACAAAGCTGCGTACACTCAGAGAAGCAGAGCCATGGATTGCAAGAGCTACACTGATGCTACACTAATTACCAAGAAACCGCAGCGCACCTTCGAGCACGTTGCAGGAGACAAAGATGATGACAGCAGCAACAATGTACTGCTGTGTAGTGTACTTGATGATTGGCGCAAAACACATCACAGCTATCACCCCAACTGCGATCAGGCCCTGCGTCCACATGATCACCAGCCTGCGGAAGGGCGCAGTGAACAGACGGGAAGGAGGAAATCAACAATCAGCATCATCAGTTTATGAAAAGTGTAGCAAACTGTAATGCATGCGTAAGAGCCAGCACAATACACCTACTGCTGACCTGTCCTTGTATATGTTGGCTATGTAGTTCCCAACCAATCGCAGTCCTGTGATTGAGAACCGTGAGACATGCACTAGCCTGCATCACACTTGTACCAGCGTGCATGCATGATAAACCTACTGCCTTACCTGTCCTCGTATATGTTGGTGATGTAGTTTCCAACCACAGAGCTGATGGGTGGGTAGAACTGTGAGATGTACGCTAGCCTGTATCACACTTGTACCAGCCAGCCTACACCATACGTGTGCTATCCTGCACCATACATACACTAGCACGCATACTAGGCCTACTGCTTACCTGTCCTCGTATATGTTGGTGATGTAATTTCCAACCACCGAGCTGATGGGCAGCACTGTGAGACCCAGGAGACCCAGGAACCAACCAATCTGAAGGAAGAGAGGAGAAAACGTTTGGCGTTTAAAATTTCTCCATGGCCCCAATCACCCAGTCAGGTCAGCTACAAAAACATTTCTAAAGCATTGCTTTGCCAGATCCACTCATTGCTGATGATGCGCATCGTTGATTGACGGCGAAAAAAGAAAACGAAAAGAAAAAGAAAAAATCCAGAACAATGCAGGTAGGCAGAGTAATTGGGTTACTCAACGGGGAAGAAGTGGTTGGAAGTTGGAACCTACGTCATTGATTGTCCGCTGAACTGGAAGTAGTACTAGGAGATAAGGCTTGACTCCAATACAAGTGTACAAGAGTAGGCAGAGCAGAGCGATGGGTCTAGATAATGGGGAAGGAACGGAACGTACGTCGTTGATGGTCCATTGGAAGTAGTACTTGGAGATAAGGCTGGACTCCGATATAAGCACCTCTGTGGCGAATTTGATCATGAAGTACATGAAGAGGAGGACCTGCAATAACGAGGATGGGGATGGGAGGAGAACGACGAACAGCACAGCACACACCACACAGCGCACAGCACACAGCACACACCACACAGCGCACAGCACACAGCACACACCACACAGCGCACAGCACACACCACACACCACACAGCGCACAGCACACAGCACACACCACACAGCGCACGGCATACAATGGACAGTACACAGAGCACAGTAAGTCCCCGCCAAACCGGCCTTGCTTGCCATACCAAGATCGGTAGCCACTTAATAAAAGTAGTGTTTTGAGACGTCTCAAAAGGACAACTCCTTCAGGAGCCCTGTAAGCGTCTCCACAGCTCCAGTGGTCAACACAAGGCACACCTCAGATAGGCATGACGGAATGAGTTACCACACCACAGCTGGCTTGTTTGCAGCTATGCGTCGTCATTCCCAACTCAGCATTAACATCCATATGCATGAACCCCACAGTTCCGAGATAGGCCGCGACAGCTCCTTGATGAGCTCTGGCATGGCAATGTCTCCACGGCTCCATTGGACGGTAACAGCATGCCTCACTTCCATACCACAGAACCCATCAACAAGCCCCTCTCAGTCTGCATTGACATCATTAGAACCGCACTGTACCGAGATGGGCCGTGACAGCTCCTTCATGAGCTCTGGGAGCGTCTCCACAGCCCCGGTGGATGATGCAGCATCATCATCCTCGTCCTCCTCGTCCTCCCCCTCATCTATGTCCGGCTGGGAAGAAGAAGCGGATCAGGGTGGGGCGGAAGGAAGGAAGGGAGAGAGGGAGGGCATGGGGGAACGATGCAGCATCATCATCCTCGTCCTCCTCGTCCTCCCCCTCATCAAAGTCCGTTGGGGGGTACATGAGGATCAGGGTGGGGAGGAAGGAGGGAAGGGAGGGCAGGCGTGGTTAATGAGGGCAGGATGATGATGATCCGCAAATGCTCCATCATCATCCTTGTCCTCCCCCTCATCCACCCTCGGCTGGGAACGAGTGAAGGGAGGGAAAGGAGCGACCAGAGACGCAAGAACATGCAACCTTAGAGAGAGTGAAATAGGGAGGTACACCGGATAATACTAGCCAGCAAGAACTGCTGCTGCTCCTGCTGAGATTCTGAGGTGCCGAGATGATGCAGAAATGCAAGGCGGAAATGCAAAGATGCGTAGACGCTCAGGTGCTGGAGGCGAGAAACAGGAATGGAGAAAGAAGGCTTACCAGAGAGGCTAGCATCAGCCAAGTTCGCGCGTCGCTCTCGTCAACCATCCCACTGTGCACTCGCCGTGCTGCTGTCGCTGCTGTCACACTATTCCTACTGTCCTGCCCTGCCAGCCCCCTCAACAGAGGCTCGGATAAGGCGCTCCCAGCCCCTCTATTCTCTCCTCTCCCTGCTACCGCCCCTCCCCACACTTCGACTCCTGCCCCTGTGCCAAATCCCTCCTCTTCAATCTTCACTGCGCCATCAGCAGGCGACGCAGCAGTCACCATACTCCCCTCTCCCACCACCACTCCATCCCTATCCCCCCACCCTCCCCTCTCCCCCACAACCCCATTCACGCCCACCGCTCCCATCCCACCCAGCGCCGCTTCTTTAGAACCCCCCCTCTTCAGGTTCCCTCCCAGCGCAGCCTCTTTAGACCCCCTCCTTCTCAAATTCCCTCCGGACTTCACCCCCGTTGCTGCCGGCACCGGCTGCAGGTGTGTCCGGTCCGGCTCCTTAAAGAAAAGAACCACAAAAGCGAGGTAGAGCAGCCAGGAGAGCACCATGAGCCAGCCAGGGGAGGTGACTGAGTTGACAGTGAAGCCGAGGAACTTGAAGTTGAGGAAGTCGATCAGGGAGGCGGCGAAGGGCCCTGCTGCCATGCCCAGCGCGCCGGCGCTTACAAAGCCCGCTGAGGCTGAGGTGCGTTCAGATGATGGCACGTGGTCGGCTATGTATCTGCGGTTAATCGCTCGCACTCCTCCCAGGCTGCAGGGAGGGAGGGAGGGAGGGTGGAAACGGGTGCAGTGCAGTGCAAAGGAAGCGAACCATGAGCCAGCCGGGGGAGGTGACTGAGTTGACAGTGAAGCAGAGGAAGTGGAAGCTGAGGAAGTCGATGAGGGTGAAATTTCTCAGCAGGCAGTAATGGAAGTGGAAGGAAGTGGACTCTCAGCAGGCAAGCAGGCAATCACCTTTTCCCTCTCTCCTCCCCTCCTTTCCCCTCTGCCCCCTTTTTCCGGATCCCCAATGATGCTGAACCTACCCTCTCCACCCACCCCTCCCCTATCCCCTCCTCTCGCCCCTGCCCACTCCTTCCAGGTCTACCCCTGCGGCCCTGCCTTACCCGGTGAGAGACCGGCCAATCAAAAGGAGGGCAACAGAGTTGAAGTCGAGGGCAGCGGCGTAGGCGAAGTTGCCGAGCAGCAGGACGAGCGTGGAGACGAGCAGGGGGTGCGTGTAGGACGTGTTGAAGATGAAGGCTGATACGAGCGCGCAGATGGGCGCGCGTGCTGCTGCCTTACATCCCCACGCACCCATCCCCCACTCCCCTTCCCCCCCAATCCCCACCGGCTTTCACCTGTGCCTTACCCGGTGAGCGACCGGCCGATGAGCAAGAGGGCGACGGAGTTGAAATCCAGAGCAGCAGCGTAGGCGAAGTTGCCGAGCAGCAGGACGAGCGTGGAGACGAGTAAGGGCTGCGTGTAGGACGTGTTGGACCACTTGCTGAAGATGAAGGCTGACACCAGTGCACAGAGGGGCGTGGCGCCAATGATTATGCCGCAGAGAGCGGGTGGCGCGGAGAGAAGGACTGCGTACTCGTCTGATGTGGGCACGATGATGTAGTAGTTCACCTGAGTGGGTGGGGTGGGTTTGGGTGTGGTGGGGTGCGGTTGAGTGCGGTAAGATTCGGTTGGGTGCGGTGAGAAGGGGTAAGTTGCGTGTAGGACGTGTTGGACCACTTGCTGAAGATGAAGGCCGAGAGACCAGGGCGCAGAGGGGCGTGGCGCCGATGATGATGCCGCAGAGAGCGGGTGGCGCGGAGAGGAGTATGGCATACTCGTCGGAGGTTGGCACGATGATGTAGTAGTTCACCTGGGTGGGATGGGGTTGAGTGCGGTGGGATGAGGTTGCGTGCGGTGGGAGGGGGTAAGATGAAGGCTGGCTCCAGAGCACAGAGGGGCGTAGCGCTGACGATGATACCGCACAGGGCTGGCGGGGCGGAGAGGAGGACTGCGTACTCGTCTGAGGTTGGGACAATGGTGTAGTGGTTCACCTGGGTGGGAGGAGGTGGGGTGCGGTGGAGGGAGGGACGGGCAGTCGGGACGGGGGGATGGCGGGGGGAGGGGAGGGAGGGGAGGGAGAGGGGGCAAAGGGGGTAGGGGAGGTGGGAAAGGGAGGGGGCAGGCCAGGAGGGATGACGAGCGCACAGAGGGGCGCCGATGATGATACCGCAGAGGGCTGGCGGGGCGGAAAGGAGGACTGCATACTCGGCTGAGGTTGGCATGATAATGTAGTAGTTCACCTGAAAGGGGTGGATGAGTTGTGGGAAAGAAGGACCCTTGAGTTGCCTAAGGTCAACAACCCATTTGTCTGATGTTGGGATGAAGATGTACTTGTTTGAATGCGAGAAAAAGAAGAAAACGGGGACGAAAGGTAGTAAACTGTTTCAAACACAAGTCGTGGCCAGACCAGCCCACTGGGTTTCGGAGCAGCTGTTGAGTCTCGTCTCACCATGTAGAGGAAGGTGTTGAACTGGTTGAGCTGCAGCGACCACCAGTGGAACTCCGGCTCCCCTGCCTCGGGCCCTCTCTCAGGGGGAGGCGGCACCAGGCGTGCTCTTCTCATCAGCGCTCAGCTCACCCCCTACATGAAGCTGCTCTCACCATGTAGACGAACGTGTGGAACTGGTTGAGCTGCAGCGACCACCAGTGGCATTCCGGCTCACCTGCCTCTGGCCCTCTTTCGAGGGGAGTGGCAGCAGTAGCCCCTTGGGAGATTCGTTTTGATAGCACCCCTTCAGAGCAGCTTTCAAACCGCACCACACACACAAACGTGCTCTCACCATGTAGAGGAACGTGTTGAACTGGTTGAGCTGCAGCGACCACCAGTGGAACTCCGGCTCCCCTGCCTCGGGCCCTCTCTCAGGAGCAGGCGGCAGCAGCAGCCCCTTGGCCATGTACGTGCTGTACCCCACCGCGTCTGTCAGCTTCGCCCGTGCCGCCTCGATTTCCTGAAAGAATTCAACACCAGGCACAACTCCCCCCCCCCCCAACCCCCCCACCCCCCAACACACACATTCACAAGGAAAAGCAGTTGAATATGTGCTGACTGAAAGGGATTTTACACATGATTCCCCTGCCTCGGGCCCTCTCTCAGGGGGCGGGCGGCAGCAGCGGCCCCTTGGCCATGTACGTGCTGTACCCCACCGCGTCTGTCAGCTTCGCCTGTGCCGCCTCGATTTCCTGAGGGGGTCAGTAACGAGGAAAAGCAGGTGCTATTGTGTTGACAAACATGGAAGCGAACATGACCCCACCCCACTCCCTGTCTCTTAGGGGCGGGCAGCAGCCCCTTGACCATGTACGTGCTGTACCCCACTGCATCCGTCAGCTTTGCTCTGGCTGCCTCGATCTCCTGAAGGGGTGAATAGGCTTAGCAGCACACACACACACCCGACCCGAACCCACCCCCACCCCAACCCCCCACACCACACGCACATTCACAAGGAAAATCATTTCACTGTGTGTTGACTGGAAGGGAAAGTGAAAACGGCCCCCCACTCTCTTCCTCCTCCTGGGCCACATACACCAGGGAGGGACTCATCCCCTTTCTGAAGAGTGCGGGCATTTAAGCTCCGTATGAGTATGCACATGAGCTAACATGGTCAAACCATAAGCATCCACCTGAATGATCGGCTCCTCCTCCTGAGCCACGTACACCGGGGACTCGTCCCCCTGCCTGAAGAGTGCAAACAGGCGTCTGGGAGTGCCACCACGTGCCACCACGTGCGCATCACTGTAAACGGTTGCACCATCAGCAGCACCCACCTGAATGATGGGCTCCTCCTGAGCCACGTACACCGGGGACTCGTCCCCCTGCCTGAAGAGCGAGAAGGACGTGCGTCTGGGCGTGCCGGCACCACGTGGTGAGAGGAGATTGGAGGGCGAGGAGAAGCACCGCTCCCTGCGGTGCAACTCGTCCAGATTGCGGATGATTGTTCCCACCATGGCGCCCAGACCCTGATGGACAGAAGGTGAACAGACAGGCACGTAGGGCATGAGGCATGCACAAGAGGCTTAGATGCGCATGCAGCTCGTCCAGATTGCGAATGATTGTTCCCACCATAGCGCCCAGACCCTGGGGATGACGTTGATGAGAAGCGGGTGTGGGGGGGGAGGGGGGGGGGAGGAGGGGAGGGTAAGAAAATAATAATCCTGGGTAGCACATGGCATGTGCAGCTTGTCCAATTTGTGGACGATGGCGTCCAGTGCTGTGCAGTGCCCCACCATGGCATGCAGCCAGACGAGGTGCAGAATTTAGAGCGTCTCATCTCGTATTTCACACACAAATCACACATCAACTCTCACAACTCACCACTTGTTTGAATATCTGTCGCAGGTGCGAGTAGGGTTGCAGCGTGCGCGACTACGTGGGTCCCAGCCTCACGCCCATGCGCCGGTCAAACTTCTTCAGGATCACAACTCACAATTCACACCACCGCTCACCACTTGTTTGAAGATCTGCTGCAGGTGCGAGTAGGGATGCAGCGTGCGCGAAGCAATGTACGTGTGTCCCAGCCTCACGCCCACACGCCGGTCAAACTTCTTCAGGATCTTCCTCAGGCCCGTGGCGTTCAGCTCCACAAACTGCAGTAGCTGCAGCAGCTCCCGCCCCACGTCCCTGCAAAGAGAAAATAAAGAAGACATGAAAACAGCTGCTTGTAAGGCAACAGGAGGCAGCACTATAACGGGGATAAAATGGCAGCCTGGTGTCGTTCAGCTCCACGAAATGCAGCAGCTCCCTCCCGACGTCTCTGCTGACCGAGAACAGGATTAAATAATAACAGCTGCTACTGAAGGAAAGGGAGGCAGCACTATAACGGGGAAGGTTCAAAATTACGGTTTTCGTAAAATACGGTCCGTTTTTTACGGTGATTTTTCAGAAAAAAAATGGCCGCTTTTTTGTTAGAGAACTCTGTTCACCAAGAAAAAAAAAAAAAAGAGAAAAACAAGGTCAAAAACATTTTCAATCATGCCAACAAGCGCATACATGCAAGAAGGGGTCCATCCCCTTCATGCTGCTGCATTTCGGGTTCGATTTGGTCCCACTAAGTGGCCGTTTTGTTAGTTATAGAGGAAACACCTCCTGGAACCGTTTTAATCCGTTTTTTGTGGTAAAAATTCAATAAAACGGTCGTTTTTTTTAACCCTGACGGGTATAGGATAGGAAGACAGCCCCGTGACGTTCAACTCCACGAAATGCAGCAGCTGCAGCAGCTCCCGCCCCACGTCCCTGAAAAGGAGATGATAAAGAGGCAGAAACGAATAACGAGCGCTGCTCCTGGTAGTTGGTGGCGATAGGGAAGACAGATAGTTCTGTAAGTGCATGTTTCTATGAGGCGCAATAAGACATTTATTGAGGCACCTGTTCAATATCCTGTTCAGATGACTTTGTTCCGAATTGAAATAATTGAACAGCATGCACAGTTACCTGTACCCACATGTCGCTAAAATCGGATGACATGACGAACTTGCAGCACATTGAAATAACAAAACAAAATGCACAGTTACCTGTACTGTTCCATCATGTCGCTAAAATCGGACGACATCACGATCGCTAGGCTGGACTCGTCTCCCCGCGTGTTCGACCCTTCCCTCTGCTCTCGTAGCCGTTGGAGCTTTCCCGCCAACACGCCCTGCTGCTCCAAGAAGAACAGCACCACCTTCTCCATCTGCCAGCGCACAATTCGGATTTGAGCTAATATATGTTATTCCACGTAGCATTAGACAGCCCGAATACCATACGGATAACCAATGGTCGTCTCGAGAGAGCTCAAACCAACGAAACCGAGCAGCTAATTAGCACTCGGCATTTGCAAACCCTGAATGCCTTCAGGCTGTATTGGCGTCTGATGGAACCCGGTCAAGGAAACTACCTAATCTGTTACGCGAGACGACTCACGCCGCTCAAACGGAGGCTGATGTCAGCTTAGTTTGGCCTAGAAACTTCGAATAACACTAAACGAAGAAACAAACAGATGTACAAGCGTAAGGGTAAAGAAACTGGACTTAGTCTAAAATAAATTAGTAAAAAGAAACCAGAAATCTACCTGCGAGTCGAGATGTTCAGAAAATCGACGTGCCATGTCCTGCTGAACGTCTTCCTCCGTGACCCCCGACGCCACGGCGGCTTCATAGGCACGAATTTCCTTCTTCAGAGACTTATAGTTGAGGTAATATCTGTTGCAAACAAATGGTCACACACGCAAAAAGCGATTCTTCACGACAGAGCGTCATGATGGCTCGGATAGCCAAAACGTAGCACCAAAACAAATATTAATTAAAAGGACGGCGACGAGCTAAGCATAATTCGGTATGCCATCTGAAAGCTAGGAGTTAGCAGCAACTCACGGTTCCCATCCTGGTACGCGGTGAGAAAGCAGATATCGGCCGTATTGCACCATTTTCGCATAAACTTCCAAAGGATAGGGCGCTATGCCAGGTGTATGTACAACATCGCAATCAAAGGCGAAGGAAAAGAAGACTGATTGTGCTTTTCTAGGATTTCAGCTAGTACTTGACAACCAAGTTTCGAGATGCTGCTATTCGAGTCGCACAGTAAGTGCTGGAATAAGAGACAGCTAGACTGAAAGAACGGATTAGCCGCTATCTCGTAACTCCTGAGTCTGATTACTCCTGTGCGACCAGTTCCCTCCCTACTGTACCAAGTCAAGTGGAGCTGACTTCACAGAATGGTAACCGACGCCATGATCCACACATACACATCATCCATCTTTGAGGCTGGTTGGTGAGGTGGTGGTAGCCTGGAAATGCCTCGAGCTTATCGCGGCTCGCATTCCTGCTACGTATATATGGGTTTAGTCGGGTGAGACAGGGTTATATGAGCTGCAGTGGGAAATTGGCAACGCAAAGTTGTCGGCTCGGGTGGGGCCTGGGGGCAATCTGTGTGGTGTGGTGTAGTGTGGTGAAGTAGCGTGGCGGGTGAGCCTTTGTTGTGCTGGCTGCTGCTGACTCCCATTTTTGTGGCTGAAAATTGCGCGCTGAGCAAGATGCCTTTCTGCTATGATTGGATCAGAGCTGACGGCAAATGCTGGATGATGGCACGCGGACGGACTGATGCTGTGGCTTCGGCCTTACCTGACGTCAGCGTAACCAGTAATGTGGGCCCTTCCGCTCACATCATTGGCTACGCGAGTCGGTTCCAGGCCAGGTGGGAGCAAATTGGGGATCCAGGCCGCGTGTGGGACATGCGGAGGAGAGGAGCCTTGCACTTTCCAGCTCAGAACGACCTTGAGCTTCAGTAAGCCAGCAGGGCAAATGTGAGAGAAATAGAACGAGACAACGCATCTACACTAAGATACTCAGCTAAAAAAAAAAGTACCAACTAGTTGCTACTACAGTAAGGTAGATTAGTTGCTAGCTAACAAGCAGGCAGTCAACCTAGTGTCACAAATGTCACGACTACCCGAAGTCACTACGTCACGTCACACACAAAAGGCGGTTCCAATACTACTGGCGAGCAAAGGCATTTGCCCCAAAAGCCCGTGAGAACTGAAGCAACTGATTTTGAGCTGCAGCCAGATTGTGCAGCTGTTGCAGACCAGCACTAGCACTCTCCTCCCCTTGCCCTCCCCCCGCTACTGCTGCCGCTGCAGCCACCGCCGCAGCAGCATTTGCCCCAGCGTTCACCCCATCCCACTCATTCCCCCACAGGCGCACCCGATCGAACTCCGCCTCGCCTCCTGCCCGATTCCCTGCCAGCTGCTGCCCGAGGTTGAAATGCACAGGGTTATTCACCCCAACCCCTGAAACCGAACCTAATGCAGAAGCTACTTCACCCCACGCTGAAGCCTGCAGGCCTCCCTGCTGCAACACCCGAGCTGCCCCAGCATGGCCCCCAGCAGTGGCAGCAGCAGCAGCAGCAGGGGTAGTGAACTGAAGAGGCTCAGTTTCATTATCCAGGCCACCTAGATTGGCAAAAGGGAGAGATTGGGGCCACTGAGAGCCCTGCTGCTCTGGCTCATGCACCTCCTGCTGCTGCTGCTGGTGCTGCTGCAGCTGCTGTTGCTGCACCTGGTGCTGTGCCTGCTGCTGCTGCTGGTACAGCTGATGATGCTGTACCTCCTCCTGTCGCACACTCCCGTACCCTGCAGCAGCTTCTGCTGCTGCAGAGCCAAAAAGCTGCTGCTGCTGATGGTGCTGCTGCTGCGCCGGCTGCTGCTGATGCTGGTGGTGATGAGTGTGCTGCTGCTGCTGCTCCTGCAGCTGCTGGTAAAGCTGCTGAGTCTGCACCTGCGGCTGCACCTGCGCCTGCTGCTGCTGCTGCTGCTGACGCAAATACTGCTGCTGCTGATGCTGCTGGGGCTGTTGAGACCCCTGCCTCTGGGAACCCAGATACTGCCCTTGCTGCTGCTGCTGCTGCTGCTGCTGCTGCTGCTGCTGCTGCTGCTGCAGCTGCTGCTGCCGACGAGATTCCCGCCTACTACCACTACCAGCAGCACCTCCTGCTGCATCCTCAGCCACAGGGAAGTTGAGATTCATCACCGGGGTTGCGCCCTGAAGGTCCTGCTGAGCCACTCCCCCACCCGCAACACCTGCAAATCCTGCACTGCCGGCTGCTGCCGCTGCAATCACCGCTGCAGCAGCTGCCGCCGCCGCAGCATGTGCATTACCATGCTGCTGCTGCTGCTGAACAGTTTGAGCCGCAAAAGCACCAGCGGCATCCCCGCCTGCTCCCCCTACCGCCCCGGCCTCGGCCCCACCACCAGCGCTGCCCCTCCCTCCGCCCGCCCCTCCTTGCCCCAGCACTGCATTCCGCCCTGCCTGTTGCCATAGCGCCTCTAAACTCCCAAACCCAGAACCCTGCCAGGCGTCCCCTACAGCCTGCCTGAGGCTGGCTAGAGTCGCGTCATCCGCCCCTGCCATGCCCATGAGTCCTGTTTCTGGCTCGGGTACTGTTACTTCTTGTTGCTGCGGCGCCTGCTGCTGCTGCTGCTGAAACTGCTGCACCTGCTGCTGCCGGTACGGCTGTTGCAGTGGCTGCTGCTGCTGGATCGGTTGCTGCTGTTGCTGCTGCTGAGGCTGCTGCTGATAGGGCACCTGCTGAGCCCGCGAGTGCCGCACTGGTTGTTGCTGCTGCTGCTGGTTGCTGTGGGTCTGATTCTGCTGCCAGTCTGCTTGCTCCACTCGCTCCTGAACTAGCTGCTGCTGCTGCTGCTGCTGTTGCTGCTGGGCCAGTGCTTGCGGCTGGCTCTGCTGCCGCTGCTGCTGCAGCTGCTGCTGCTGCTGAATGTACGAGTTTCTCAGCTCAACTAGAGAAGACGAGTCCGTTGCTCCCGACTGCTGAACTATTGCCGCCCAGGACGCTGCCATTTGCTCAAGCTCCCCCAATCCCTGCTGCCCCTGCCCCAGCCCCTGCTGCTGCGCCTGCCCCTGCCCCTGCAGTCCCAGCTGCTGCTGCTCCCCTTCTTGCTGCTGCTGCTGCTGCTGCTGCTGCTGCTGCTGCTGCTGCTGCTGCTGCTGCTGCTGCTGCTGTTGTTGTTGCTGCTGCTGCTGCTCCTGCAGCCGCAGCCTTTCCAACCCGATCCTCCCGCCACCTCCTGCCTGCTGCCCCACGCCCCGGTTGCCCCCACCCCCTGTCGCCTGCGCCAGTGCTGCTGCCACCGCCTCAACGTCTATCTGCCCCTCCAGTCCTGCCGCCACTGCGGCAGCAGCTGCTGCTGCCGCCGCTGCTGGATCAACCTCCGCGCCCGCCATCCCCTCCCCTCCCCCCGCCCCCTCACCCCCCCCACCAAGCTCCCCCGCGTTCCCCATCTCATCCGCCCCTTCCCCCCCGCCCCCTTCCGCAGCCCCCCTCCCCCTCCCCCGGTTCTTCCTCTTCTTCTTCTTCCCCTCCCCATTCGCCTGCTGCGCGGACGCGGGGAGGGTGGGCATCTTGGGGATGCGCACACGGGAGAGCGCGGGGAGATCCCCGTTTCCTATCGCCAGCGCAGCCCCCCCTCCCCGCGGCCGCCCAGGCTTCCGCCGAATCACCCCATCGCCCTCCCCTCCTGCGCCCATCTCCCCTGCAGCGTATACCCCATCCATCCCAACCCCACCCTCTATACCCGCACCTCCAGGAACACCCGCAGCAGCAGCAGCAGCGCCGGCAGCAGGGTCAGCGGCAGGGGGGAGACCTTCAGCCGCTTTCGTCTGGGCTTGAATCACCTCCCTCTCCGCTTCCCTCGCTGCATTCTCCGCGTTAGCCGCGGCTGACGCGATCAACGACTGAACTGCCGCTTCCTCGTCCTCATCCTCGTGCTTCTCGTCTTCCACGGTTCCCAGAAGCTGCCGCACGCTGGCCGCCACAGAAGACGCCAAAGCATGCGCCTCAAACTCCAACGTCCCCTCCATCAGCTGCTGCCGAGCCTCATCATGCGCCGCGGATAGCAGCCTGGCTTGGGTCCGCCCGTCCTGCAATCTGCTTCGGGCACGATACACTGCCTTTTCCTTAAAACCAAACATGAGCTGGTACTTAGCGAATTCCAGTGACCCCAGCCGAATATACTCCTCCAGGGCTTTGAGAACGTCGTCCCACTGCATGTCCCCTGGATGCCCCACAGCCATTCCTCCGTTTGCTTCCTTAAACTTCGCCTTGGCGAGCGCGCCAATGTTGTTTGCAGGGCTCCAGGCGATTTGCAGGAGGGTGCGCACTGGCCGCTCCTTCATGGCTATCTGTAGCTTCGTGGCACTTAACTCGAGATCCGCTGCGAGTGCATGGGCGGTTACGGCTTCGCGCTGTTGCTGCAGCTGCTGCTGCTGCTTCTGAAGGTCCTGCTTCTGCTGCTGCAGCTGCTGCTGTTGTTCCTCACTGGACCCACCATCAGCCCCACCAGCAGCAGTGCCGCCAGCAGCACTACTCTCTCCTCTTGCCCCACGCACACCGTCACGACCAGCACCACCAGCACCGCCAAAACCACCGGCAGAAGTGGCAAAGAACCGCGTATCAGACCCCATGACGGTACCAGGGGGAGCAGCAAGGCCCGTGACAGGGGCGAGCCCGGGTTGGTTCTGAGTGGCGGCCATCCAGAGGCGCGAGATCTCTTCCGTCTGCGCCTTGTTGACCCCCTCCAGCAGGGACAGCTGCACGCGCGCCTGCGCCAGCATGTGCTCCTGCGCCACCACCTGACGGAGGGGAGGAGAGAGTGGTGGGAAGCGGTGGGAAGGGTTGGGATCGGTGGGAGGCGGTGGGAAGCGGTGGGGAAGGTGTGGCGAGATCTCCTCCGTCTGCGCCTTGTTGACTCCCTCCAGAAGCGACAGCTGCACGCGCGCCTGCGCCAGCATGTGTTCCTGCGCCACCACTTAACAGGGGGGAGGGGAGAGCGGTGGGAAGCGGTGGGAGGTGGTGGGGAACGGGTGAGACGCGGTGGGAAGCGGTGGGGAAGGTGTGGCGAGATCTCCTTCGTCGGCGCCTTGTTGACCCCCTCCAGCAAGGAGAGCTGCACGCGCGCCTGCGCCAGCATGTGCTCCTGCACCACAACCTGACATAGGGGAGGAGAGAGCGGTGGGAAGGGGTGGGAAGGGTTGGAAATTGGTTGAAAGCGGTGGACAGAGGTGGAGAGGGGTGGGAAGGGATGGGGAAGGGGTGGGGAGACTGGGTTGGTTCTGAGTGGCGGGCATCCAGAGGCGCGAGATCTCCTCCGTCTGCGCCTTGTTGACCCCCTCCAGCAAGGAGAGCTGCACGCGCGCCTGCGCAAGCATGTGTTCCTGCGCCACCACCATACCTGCTTCTTCAGCTCTCCGAACGCCTGCTTGGCCGCCTCCTTGGTGTTCCGCGCGCGCCTCAGCTCCCGCCCCATCGCGATCTGCTCTCCCCTCATGCGCTTCATCTCCACTATAGCCTCTTCTAGAAGCTTCTGTTGGCTCCTCAGACGTTCCCTGTCCACCCGCTCCCTCTCCGCCCTCTCTCTTTCCATCCTTTCGCGTTCCCTTCTCTCCCTCTCCAAACGCTCCCTCCCCGCCTGCTCCTTCTCCTTTTCCGCCCGTTCCTGATCATCAGCGCCTTCGGGAACTCCGCCAGTAGCAGCGCCGGCTTCCGCCTCCCCTTCCCCCTCCGCCTTCCCCTCCCCCTCCGCCCCGAGACCAACCGCGCCGGGCGCAACTCCCTCCTGGTTATCCTTCCCCTCCCCCTCTCCCTGCTGTTGCCCCGGCAGCGCTTTTTCCCCCGCCTTGTCCCTCTGCGCCCCCCGCCGCCTCTCCCGCTCGCGCTCCCTGTCCTGCGCCTTCCCGCGCAAAAACTCCTGCTCCAGGCGCAACTGGTGCGCCCAGTCCCCGACCGCATCCTCCCCCTCCCCTTCCCCTCCCTCCTCGGCCTCCTCTTCTTCCGCCCACAAGTCATCCCCAAGAACGCTCATTTGTGGCTGCCCTTTTATCCCGCTGCTGCCCAAGCTGCCCGGAAACAAAGGCACAGACATGCTATCCGTCAAACGAATCTTATTCCCGTCCAAACCCACTGCTTCACCTCCTGATTCTTCCCCTTCCCCTTCTCCTTCCCCTTCCGTCCCAATTTTGGTCCTCTCTTTCTCAAGTCCCTTACGCCTGACCTTCTTTAGCGAACCTCGAAGGCTCTCCTTATGTCCACGCATTCCACGTTGCAACCCACGGTGCAACCCACGCCGCATCTCACGGCGTCGCCTACGGTCCATGTGCACTCCCCCGCGGTTGGCCGGGAAGAACAACACGTCATCCTTGACCTCCACCACGTCATCATCCTCGTCCGGCAAATGCTGGAACCGCTTCCGTCCTTTCCGTTTCCGCCTCCCGTCCACGTCAGCACCGCCAAAACCATCCAATCCTGCAATGCCACGAAAGCCCGCCCCCGATCCCCGCCTTCCACGCAAGTTCCGCAAGCCCTCTCCCCGCATTCCGCCCGCAAACCCCGCCTCATCCTCGTCCTCCTCCTCTTCCTCCTCCCCCATCTTATCGTAATGCGCGTCCTCATAACGCGGGGCCTTCGGCCGCGCGCTTATGCCCATCTCCGCCGCGAAGTTCGCCGCCCAATCCGGAACGAACTTGCTATCCCCTTGGGGTCGCCGCCCGAAGCGGCCAAAGAGGGGATCCAAAGGCAGGGGCACCTGCTGCTGCGGCGGTGGCGGAGGATGCAGATGCGGCTGGTGCCCGAGCCGCGAGTGGATTTTGTGCGGATGTGGCCGTTCCAGCCCCTGCGCCGGTCCGCGCGGTAGCGCCGCGTCTCGTTCCACGCGCGGTTTCTTCTCCCCGCGCTCCAGGAACGCCATCCCCACGCGCACGGCGTCCGCCTCCGCGAAAGCGCGCCGTTTGAACGGCCGCCCGCCCAGCGTGTCCCCAATGAGCGGGGAAAAAGCGTCTGCGTCTGGCGCCTCCGCTCTGCGGATCTTCTTCGGCCGTCCGCGTTTCCGCTTGAAGGGGAGGTCCGCGTCTGCCGGATCTAACGTTGCCGGCAGCTCCTTGCCGTCACCGTCGTCACCGTCACCGTCACCACCACCACCACCACCGCCACCGCCGCCGCCATCGTCTTTGTCCACGTCTCCCTCTCCTTCTCCGTCTCCTTCTCCGTCGCCGCCGTCACCGTCACCATCACCGTCGCCGTCGCCGTCACCTTCCTCGTCGCCGTCGCCTTCGCCGTCGCCATTGCCGTCGCCGTCACCGTTGCCTTCACCATCATCCTCATCGCCACCGTCCATGTCTCCGTCAAGGTCCGCGTCATCCTCGCCAAGGCCATCCTCGTCAAAAGCAGCTTCGATAGGATCCAGCAGGACGGATGCCGTCTGCTCCTGAAACATTTGCATCATGTCCTTCCGCGGAGGATCCGCCGGAAACTGCGCCGACTGCGGAAGCTCCGCGGGTAGCTTTCCTCCGACATCAACCGGCGCTTCCGCAACATTTGCACCTCCGCCTTCCGTTCCGCCTTCCGCTCCACCTCCCCTCCCGCTTCCGCCTTCCGCGTTACCTCCGCCTTCCGCGTTACCTCCGCCTTCCGCTCCGCCTCCGCCTGGCGCAAGCGTCGGCGCGAGCTGTGGCTCCAAACCCGTCTGGCCACCGTCCACCTCAGAGGCTCCAGCTTCCAATCCATTACGCTTAGTCTTCTTCTCGCTATCATTACGCTCGGTCGCGTCGTTGCCGTCAACTGACTGCTTTGCAACATTAGCGGAGTCCGAACCGGGAATAGGCTCGTTCGCAGGAGTAGGATCGTTTACAGAAACACCATTCTTCACGTCGTGGCTAGTAACGGGTTCTAGAGCATCGGCATTCTCTAGAGGAGCGAAAGGGTCACCGTCGTTGGCTGTGGGAGGCGGTTCAGAGGAGGTGGTTGTTTGTTGATTTGTAGGTGCTGTCTGCAGCTGTAGTAGCGTCTGAAGAGATACAGATGTCATTATGCCACGCTTTGCGCTAAGGGAAGAGCAGAAAATAAAACGGTTTCGAAAAAAAAATAGCAGTGCAGAAGGACAAGAAATAAAGCTTTGCGTCGGCTGACCGAAAGCTAGTCAATCGTCCTGTTGCCAAGGTAAATATAGTCAGACTGCGTGTATCAGGTCAGAAACACAGGTGACAGTGGTGCTGGTTTCAGTTCTGTTGAACACTAGCGGCCAAGCAAGGTGAGGGCAAAGAAAGGAACACTAGGAAACGTTGGGGGAGGAAAAGTGGTCAGCGACCAACAGCCATGGATGTTGCCGCGAGGAAGTGCCTCTCGAAAACACCAAACTCGAAACTCAAAAACTTGAAACTTCAAATTGCAAATGACGGGGCTGTCGGGCTCTAGCCTACCAGTACTGGAAAGAAACTAGGGTTTCGTCTAAAGCCACGGATACAGGTCTGAAGCACTGAATGAACCAGAACACTAGTGCTCTGCTCGGCCATACCAGCGCTTCAGACAGGATATAATTTGCTTCTCCAAATTATATGGCCTGCCCGATTGGATATTGACGTGGAAGGTCTTGCGGGCAGCGCTGCACAGCAGGCTGGTTGGCCGCTCATGGTCCAGCGTGGCATTCAAACCACTACGCCGACCATTGGTGGAGGGGACTAGCGCAATCTGGAAGTTATCCGGGCAGTCTCACAATTTTCGATTCTGTGGAGCCATTGAGGAAACCCTAGCTCCCTCACCTTACCTTCTCTAGAGTACCTGACTGTTGTATAATGGAATGGACTACACCCCCCGTTGATCTCCTGCGTTTCTATATGTGAATGAAACCTTCTGCATCAATCTCGTGAACTGTTTTCGCTGCAAGTATTTCAACGTGCTTCTTTCTGTAGACATCCGCATGCTTCGTTGTCATCCCAGAGAGGCCAGCCTGGAAACCCTCGTTAATTCGGGGCAACTCACTCAATTGGAACGATTGGGGGTTAACCTGAAGGTACTCGAAGGGTAGTGTGAATCGAGTTATTTAGTTCCTCCTCAATTCCTGTGAGGCAGAAAATGTGCGGGTGTGCGTCTCCTCTACTACCCTGAAACACAATGGCAACAGTGATTGCTTCAGCTTTAAACAAGGAGGGGAATCTGCAAACTGCCTTGAAATAAATTTTTTTTCGCAAGTATACCTTCCCTCGTCAAGCATGTCCGTGTAGGCAAAGGTCCAACCCAGTTGTAGAGGTACCAGTTAGCATTCCGAGCAAATTAAAGGGCGGAAAACAGCCTCGGATATGGCATGTTTTCCGCAGAAGTAGATGCTACCCGATGCTGGACCTTGTTCATTGCGTCTCTCTAACAAGAGTGTACCTACATGCGACCTCGCCTATCCGGATGCAGTGCATCACAGAGAGTGTACACCCACTTGTTCGTTTGATGTACCTGTGATTGTGTTACAAGCTCGGTACATTAACATAGAGGGTTGGGAGCGATGCGTTTATGTCACATAGAATCGATTCACACGCGTGATAAATTAAACACTGAATTGCTAAACGTTGAAGATAATCGGTGGCAGAGCACTACAGTTACACGCATTCGCGCTAAACACGAGGCCAAATTTACTAGTTATGATTCGGTCAGGCCGGCCTACAGTTCCAAAACCGTATTTATAGCCACATTTTGGGAGCAAGGGACGGCAATATGCACGGAAATGTGACTCGCAGACGTTAAAAGCACTGGGCAAAAATGACAAGCATCTCCGACCGAAACGCGCTTGGTGAGATAAACGAAAACATTGGGTGTATTGATGAATGGTTCCACTACATCCCAAAAAAGTTCCCCGCAATTTTCTACCCCTAGGTCACATCAGGGTCCTCCGATTGGTGATACCCCATTGTCGCCAGCAGTGATACCCCAATGTCACCCTGGTCGAGGATTCGGTTCGTTGTCACACTGGGGAACCCCGAGATGTGACCCTCCCGCGAAGTTTGGGCCCAATCACGTGCGTTCTCGCTTCCCGCTTAACGCGAGCCGCTTCTGCCATGTTAACTTTCTCGATTTCAACACGATCATAGCTACAAGACAGTATTTTCTATTGTCATTAAAAAAACTATTATAAATCTCATTCCGCTATTCCCACAATTAGTATTGATATCAATCAATTACTGTTAATTTTGTCACGAGCTGCTTATTGCCAGTATAATTTGTATGCAGAAGCAAGTCGATTCCATTAATCAATCTGCACATTTTAAATAAAGCATTACAGAACACTTGGACATGCAGACAACGTGCACTACTCTGCAGATACAGCACGTTATAAAAGCTATGTTACTCAGGAGAGCTCCAGCACAACCTCAATACCCAATGTAGACGATGGTTTGCTCCTGCAACACACAACACAAAGAAAAGAGGAACACACGATATTGCAAGATTCTTACCACACGAATGTTGGGCTGAAAAAGCCCTTAGGATCTTGGCAGAGGTGAATTCTGGGTAGAGTTGATGAGTAGCGGAAGCGTCTTAATAAAGAGTTTGTGAACCACCTTGCGCTAGTATATGAGGGCGAAGTGAATTGATTAAAGCAAAGAGATACAAGATTATATATGAATACAGAGAATATGAAGAGACACAATTATAACTACTTTACTGTTGCTGTTGCGGTTCGATACAGTGACGACTCGGGCAACTGCTCTGTAACGAGTCAGTTGTGTGTCCTTGCTGTCGCGCTGCATTTTTCAAGTCAAAGGTCGCTGACCTTTGACTTTCGCGTAACCTCCAGCGGTTACTTCAACCTCCGAGGGTTGACTCGCTAGTGCCTCGATATGCTTTGCCTCGCTTGTGCCTTAGTGTTTCGACACGACAGAGGCGCTTAGGAACTATTGTTTCCAACAGTCCCCTTCGCTTCTTGAGTGTCGCTGACGTGGCTCTGTCCAGTCAGCAGCATGCAATATTCGAACTTATGTTTTCCGAGCTTCTTGGTCAGATAATCAGCGGCCATCTCGGAAGTGGGGCAGTATGACAGCTCAAGCCTTCCTTTCTCGATCTCGTCCTTCACGAAGAAATATCGTAGGGCGATGTGTTTCGTCTTGTTCGCGAAGCCGTTCTTGTTGGCGATGCGAATTGCCGACTGGTTGTCGCAGAACAGGGTGAAGATGTGTAACTCGGCTAACTTCGCTTCTTCGAGTAGCTCGCGAAGATAGAGTCCTTCATTGGTGGGTGAGCAGAGTGCAATATATTTGAGAAGAGTTGAACGAGAATGGGAATCACAAAGTGAAAGTTGGGTACAAATACGAACCCTAGAAAGCTGTACCCCATATGTGCTACCCCACTATAGCCTACAATAGCTATGTCATATATATGTGACACACCTCCATAGGCAAAGTGAGGGAGAACAAGCGGTCACAAGACCAGTCAAGCAAAACAAAGCAAAGAAAGCTCAGGGTGGATCACAAAGTTACCACACAGTCCGAGCACAAGGTCAAGGCCACAAGGCCAGTTCACATGCAGGGGTGCACATATATATAAAACACTAAACAAGCAAGAGCATGTATGTATACATATACATCAGCGGTGAAAACATCAGCGGTGTTGGCCTCAGAGGCCACGTACGCAAGTCGCAACTGACCACGCTGCTGCAGCTCACGAGCAAGAAAGTAGCGGAGAGCAATGTGCTTCGTTCTCTGCTCCACGCGCTGCTCTCGACACAAGGCCAGCATGGCCTTGTTGTCTACGTACAGCGCTGGAGGAGAACGAGGCGGCTCTCCAAGGTCAGTCAGCAGGTAGGTGAGCCAGCGAAGCTCCTGAGCAGCCATGGCCCCGGCGTGAATTTCAGCCTCACAACTGGAGCCGAGAACAGAAGACGAGCGAGTAGCCCGCCACGAAACAGAGCCGGAACCAAGACTGAAGGTGTAACCCTGTGACGACCGCTGAGTAGTCTGGTCGTCAGCCCAAGAAGCGTCCGCGTGCCCAGTGAGGACCACTGGACTCCGCCCTCCAAGCACTAGCCCCATGCCCGACGTACTGCACAAGTAGCGCAACACCCTCTTCGCTGCAGCCATGTGCTCTGGTCGGTGTCTCCCGAGAGCAACATAGCGTGCGAGAATGCTAAGAGGGTATGCAAGGTCAGGTCGTGTGCAGGTCATCAGGTACATGAGGCAGCCAACAAGCTTTGGATAGGGGCCACTCCACTCTACGGACTCATCCGAAGGCAGAGCTGAGAGCGAGTGGCGAGTAGGCAGAGGAGTGGCCTGAGGCGAGGAGTACGTGAAGCCGAAGCGCTGAAGGACCTGCTGCACCATGTCTGACTGAGTCAGGGTAATGGTGCGGCGTGCTCTGTCCCGGGTGATCTGCAAGCCAGGGTAGCTGCGCAGTTCACCCAGGTCTGTGCACGTGTGTCTCTTCTGCAGCTCGGACTTCACGTAGGCGAGTCCAGCAGTGTCAGCTGTGGCAAAGACCAAGTCGTCGACGTACACTAGGATGTAGAACGGCGGCAGAGAGGTGTCGGTGCGCAGAAACAACGATGGGTCAGCAGTAGAGGGAGCAAACCCAAGAGCCGCAAGCGTAGTCCTCAGTGTGTCGTGCCACTCACGTGGTGTCTGGCGGAGACCGTAGACTGGCCGCCGGAGGCTCCACTAGGTGCCAGGAGGGAAATTCCCAGTGAAGCCATGTGGACGGCGCAGCCAGATCTCCTCGTGCAGGCTACCCTGCAAGAAAGCAGTGCTGAAGTCAAGAGAGTGGAGCTCGTAGTCGCGCTGAGCGGCTATGTGCAGCAGTACCCGAAGAGTGGTCATCTTCGGGGTGGGAGAGAAGGTCTGAAAGTAGTCAACTCCCTGCCGCTGACTGAAGCCACGAGCCACGTACCGCGCCTTGAAGACAGGTGGAGAGCCTGGCGGCCGCTTCACCCTGAAGATCCACATGCCACTGACGATGTTCGCCCCAGGAGGGGGAACCGCGTCAACGTAGGTGCCTGTGGACTTCCAGGAAGCCATCTCTGCATCCATAGCTGCCTGCCACTGAGAGGAGTAGGGA